TATATATATATATATATATATATATCACCATAGCTATAATCACGATTTTAGACCTATGGAAATAAGGAGCAATATTTTATGCATGTATTTTTTTAAAAGGAATCTATACACTTCAAATTTCAATTAATAATTTGTTAATATTTGAAACATACACACGCACACACACATTAAGCTTAAAAAATGAGTCATATACCATGTATTGCATTATATATTTAAAAAATTTTCTGATACATATAATTCTCTGCATAAAAGGTTAAAAAAAAAAAAATGAAAAGCTGAAATCTACAGAATTTTTTACTGTGAAAATATTAATCATTTTCTATAAATATTGCATAAAATTACAAAAGCATTCGAGCGACGCATATGAATGTACTTTTCTTGTGCGTAAGAGCATACCATGACATTAATAGACGCAATATCCGCGTAAGAATGTACAATTGTTTGTAAAACTTGACGTGTTCGATCTTTTACGGATGATTCACTTATCATTCAAGGTCAGAGATGAAAACCTTTAAAGCATTTCGCTAACAAACGCAATAACATAATTAATGTATGATAGATAAATTTTTAAAGACAATTAAAATCTATTATGTATTAATATCAATTTTAATTTTTGATATTTTGTACATTATTGTGCAATTGTTTGTTATATGGGCATACTTTTGTAGCACGTCAGTCAGCAAACCATTTCTGTGGATAATACAGTTGTGGGATTAACATGGATGATTGGCAATCAGGACATATTTGCGGCGTACGGAGCGGATGCGTATATAAAATTCTACAATGTCACGGATGCTAAACCCATGACGTGTGCGAAATTCGAAATTACTAGTAAACAAAGCATCAGCAGCTTACGCGTCAATTCTAAGAGGTACACATAAGATAATTAAATCCGGATGATTCATCGTCCGAAAACTCCTTTCTCTTTCTTACTAATTTTAGATTCAATGGTTACGATGTTTATGCCTTGCTTATATGTTTTCTTGGCATATGTATTTTTCTTTATAAAGAGAAATACTTTTTAATTTTTATTAAAAAAATATAGATAACATGACTAGCTGAAATTTATAAAAATTGGCAGTGTACAGTTATACATATAAAATATAAATTAACTAAAAGATCTAGAATAAAATTTGAATATTTTAATTGGTTGCGTTGGAATACGTATATTCAATTTCTGCATTTTAATGCCTAAATAACTATTAATATGAAGATAACTGAACAAGAACTAGTATATACACTGTTCTTTACTTATTTTTTATACATACTTACATATAAAAAATGTCTCCCATTTATCACGTCAAATGCGATTGCACAATAATGTAATGCAAGTATCCATAATTCCAACGCGAGATTAAAAAAAATATAGAGATAAAAAATTATATACTATAGAAATTAATATTTATTTTACTTATTTTAGAGATATTCTGGCTGTTGGAGATGTTCGGGCAAACGTTGAAATATGGAAATTTCCACGTCACTTATTTTGAATACAACTCTGATCAACGCCGGTTGCTTGCGATATTTGCTGAATGTGCTGACATTACTACATATACTCTGTATTGCATGTGTATATCCACGTTTTTATGCAAATAAACTATTACGAAACATTGATTTTTTCTTTCCC